TTATCCCTCATTAGGTTCTGCCAGCCCCTGGCGCGCAGGAGGCCCGACTCAGACACCTGCCCTCCCTTGTGCCGCCAATGCCCGGCTCAGGGTCTTGGTCTTTCCAAGACACCCTGGAAACACCTGTGGGCCGCGAGCGTGGCGAGCTGGTGACGAGAAGGGACAGCGCGTTTCAGGCCAGCATCCCTGTCTGCGACCCAACCCGTGCCAGGCGCTGTGTGAACAATGATGAATGCGGAGCCCGCCGGCTCCCAGCGCAGCTCTGCCCGCTGGGCCCTGCGCCCTTCCCACCGGGGGTGGAGAGAAGGAAGAGAAGACAGGTGTAGCGCACAAAACCAAGAAATGCCCCCAAAACACAGGGACCCTCCCCGTAACAGCCATAACCCGTCTGTAGGTCCGTCCCGCGGGCACCGAACGCGGTGGCTTGAAGCTGCCGTGGCCTCCTGGGCCAGCTGACCTCTGGTTATTTCAGGACGCTTAGCTGCAAGCGGCGACATAATTCAAGGTCTCTAAATCGGTATGGTAAAGTTTTGTAAAACCCTGCATGGAAAGCGAGGTCCTGAGCCTGGACTTCCTGGTATCCCCGCTGGGGACTGGAGGTCAGTGCTGCCCCATTAGTATTCCGTGGGGTTTCATCGTGTCTGTGCATTTTTCTGGGGAGAAGGTCCATAGTTTTCATGGTATTTCCAAAGGAATTGAGGACTCTTGAAGGACTCACGTAGCTGATTTTAAAGAACCTGTCATAAAGGGGACAATGACAAGGAAGACTGAAGAACTGGCACATTCAAACTGTGAAGCTGGTGAAGAACATTGAATATACCATGTACTGTCAGAATGGACAACTCAGTCTTGGAGGAAGTACAGCCAGAATACTCCTTAGAAGTGAGTATGGCAAGGCTTCTCAGTCTTCCTTTACTTTGGACGCATCATCAAGAGGGACCAAATCGCTGAGGAAGCATATCATGGTTGGTGGAGGGTCAGGTAAAAAGAGGGAGACCATCATTGAGATGGATTGACATAGTGGCTGCAACGATGGACTCAAACACAGCAACAATTGTGAGAATGGTGTTGGACCAGGCAACTTTTCATTCTGTTGCTATAAATCAGAGCCAACTTAACAGCACCTAACAACAAAACAACTATCACAAAGCAGAAGGTTGATGGTTACTACAAATAATTGGAAGTACAAGTTGAGAGGTTGAATATTGGCTTTTCCCAAGACCTTCCCAGCTTTTGACCTCTGTGCAGACTTCCACCCGCTTACCCACCCATTCATTCCTGTTAATTGCCTGTGCCAAAATAGCCTGTGCTGGGATGAGCCTTCCACATGAAGTAATGGCCAGGAACAGAGCAGACTGGAAGGTCCTAGAAATAGAAGGTGCAGACATGCCACTGAGCACTCTACCATCGTGCTACCATGATGACCCTGGAACCGCTTTCTGGGGCACTTGCCTCTGAATGATAGCCTTACATGCAGTTTTGCAGAAGGAGCTCTGGCAGTATAGTGGGTAAGACATATTGCTGCTAACCAGACATTTGGCTGCTAACCAGAAGGTCAGTGGTTCAAACCCACCAGCTGCTCCACAGGAGGAAGATGAGGCAGTCTACTTCCATAAAAAAAAAAAAAAAGTCTACTTCCATAAAGCCTTAGAAACCCAATGAGGGTCACTATGAGCAGGAATGAAACAAAACATTGCTTGGTCCTACACCATTCTCACAATTGTTCCTATGTTTTGAGTCCATTTTTGCAGCCACTATGTCTATCCATCCCATTGAGGGTCTCCCTCTTTTTCCCTGACCCTCTTCTTTACCAAGCTTGATATGTTTCTCCAGTGATTGGTCCCTCTTGATGATATGTCCAAAGTAACGGAAGACTAAGAAGTCTTGCCATACTTGCTTCTAAGGAATATTCCGGCAGTGAGTTTTCTAGAGGGTGGAGACCTGTCCATCTTGGTCTACCCAATGGTGGTTCTCAAACTGAGTGTTCTGAGTCACAACAAGGAAAAGAAATTGCCTCTTGGGAGCAGTGGGGTGGAGGAGAACTAGGCAAGTGGGGAATGGGGTGGAGTGCTTACTTCTCAGTTGTACCCTTTCGGACTTTTGGAGTGTTTTACTACGTGTGTGTTTCATGTCTTCAAAAAGTAATCATTGCTAGACTTCCAGTAAGATGGTGGAACAGGCAGACAAGCTCCACAGACCCTCTTCAACAAATAAAAGAGAAACCAATTGACAGAGATACAGAAGATAATCCTGGAGTCCTGAGCTTTGAAAGGAAGGATACTGAAGTGCATTAGGCAACAACTAGTGGAAAAAGCTGAACAAAAACTGTGAGTATGGAGATGGTCAGAGCAGTAGACGGTCAGCTACTCTCACAGGACCAATGGCCTGAATATTTCCAAGTGGTGTTGGGACCTGAGAATTGACCAAAAGATCAGCCCAGGTCACCAAGGGCTGCAGGGACAACTATGCTGGTGGCCAATGACTAGGAAGGGAAACAGCAAGAAGGGAGGCAATCTGAGCCGT